TGAGGGAGTGCCGCACTGTCGGAGGGTCAGTCCTGAGGGAGCGCCGCACTGTCGGAGGGTCAGTGCTGAGGGAGCGCCGCACTGTCGGAGGGTCGGCGCTGAGGGAGCGCCGCACTGTCGGAGGGTCAGTGCTGAGGGAGCGCCGCGCTGTCGGAGAGTCGGCGCTGAGGGAGTGCTGATATCACACACAAACCAAGTTGTGATTTTTTTTCTATATGACTGCGTCAGGGATTTTGTTGTTCGCTGTTTAACCGCTGCCCTGGGATTAACACAATTGTGACTAATCGCTCGCTGTGGCACCGGAGCCACTGAGGGACGGGGTCGGCGCTTCAAAAATGCAATGTCCTGCCTGTCCCCTTCACGCACCTGCCAGCACACATTTAGCTCGTAGTTTCACCATGTCTCCTCCTGCTCGGTTCGGAAGCCCACGAACCGTTCATTCCATCGATAATAAACCTGGCGGCTCCTAGTCCGGGCCTCAGTTACTTTAGGCCGCAAACCGCCAGTCAGGGCTCCTTGGTTACAGCTCCCTCGCACCTCCTCCCATTGGCCGCGGCCCCGTGGGCGGTGTACCCAATACAATTGGCCAAGACGCCGTCCATCGCAACGCTCTACTATATGATTGAACGCCTGGGATGTCAATCAGGTATCCTCACCCTGTAATTGGTCATGACTCCGTCCATCACACTGCCTTGCAAATTGATTGGATACCTGAACTGTTAATCAAAGAGCTAAGGCCCGTGATACCCGCCCCCTTAACCAGCTGGCACATCCACGTGCTTGGAGTATCTTGAGGTTGTGATAACTGCCATAATAATGCCAGTTTTTAAAACTTTTTTTTGGAAAAGGATAAACAGATGAGCTAAGGAGAATGAGAGATAGTAGAAACTGCTAAGCTAAGGAGAATATTCTTTTCTCACATATCAAAAATTTACATTCACATAAATATATAAATCAAAAGTGTGGATACTGTGAAACAAAAATAATGCTGGAGAATCTCAGCAGGTGTGGCAGCATCAGTGAGGGAAAGAGTTAAAGCCACCAGTCCACAGACCAGCAATTTATTTTTTTATTACATTCAGATACATTTTATAGTTTCCCTGCTGCGAAGCTCTCATCAAAAAGCTGTTCAAGGTGCTGAATGTTTGCTGGAGTTAAATACTCTTGCAATAATTACAAATTATGAGAACTCTGAGCAGAACTAGGATCTCAGTCCCTGGCCTGCTCTGCCATCCATTGCGATCACAGCTGGTCTGTCTTGACTCCATTACATTGCCCGCTTCCCATAACCTTTCAACCTATTACCAACTAAAAGTCTATTTCCTCAAGTTTACTCAAATGTCCCATTATTCACCACTCTTCAAGAATATCATTTCTCATGTTTTAAATCAGCTACATGCCTTATCCTACAATTACCCTGACATACTTGTATAAAAAGGTATGATTTGCCTGGATAGCATGCAAAACAATAGTTTTCACTATTTCTCAGTATGTGACAATAACAAATCTAGTGAATTCCCCAAACACCAAGTTCAACATGTGACAAGTGCATTGCATAATATTTACATAGCTAACTAAACATCCCAAGGTACTTAACAGAACTACACAAAATGACCATGACACAAGCTTCAGGTGATCTGTCAAAGATGTAGACTTTAAAAGGTCTCCAAAGGAATACTATCGAGAAGCATCCTAACTCTAACATTCTTCTCATTTGAGTTGAATCACAAAAAGCTAGCATATAATCAGTGGGTAATAGGGAAAGCAAAGATAATGTCAGTTTTTTTTTTAAAAAGATAGGTGTCTAGTAAAAATACATAAGGGCACAGACCACGGATGACACACAGTTAAATTTTAGTCCCTTTATCCAATGCATACCAGGCATTGGAGACAGTCCAGAAAAGGTTCACTTTGTTGATTCCAGGTATGGAGGGACTGTCTCGAGGGGAAGTTGAGCATGTACCGATGTCATGAGAATGAAGTGATCTTACTGAAAGGCTTGTTTCTTAGGATACTTGACCAAGTAGATACAGAAAGGTTATTTCCCCTTGTGAGAATCAAAGATCAGAGGACATGACACCCACTTAAGACAGGAGGATGATTTTCTTTGCCCATCCCACCTGGAGGGTATTTAATTTGGAGACCCCTTTACTGCAGAGGGCTCAAGGCTATGTTGGCAACAACATTGAAGGCTGAGGTGGACAGATTTCTAATCATTAAGTGAATGAAAGGTTATGGGGACAGGTCAGGAAAGTGCAGGGAGGGTTATCAGATCAGCCATGATCAAGTTGAATGGCAGAGTCAATGGGCCAAGTGGCCTACTTTGCCTCATACATCCTGTCTTAAAGTGAGCTAGTACCAGAAGGCATTGTTTGGGCAATGATCCCATATACCAACTTACACTCTGCCAGTGTTCATTGGCCTGTGCTGGCTTCTAGTCAAGCAATGCCCTGATTTAAAAAAAAACACTTTCTAAAAGTTACTTCAAGGCCTCAACTTAGGTTTTAAACCCTGCACCCTACCTTGCCAAGATCTCTACTTATATCCAGATGCCCCCTACCCTTTCTATTGTCAGTGCCTCAGCCCCATAGTCTGCAAAGCTATGCTGAGGTAAAGGATAACAGAAGCAGGCTCTCAGCCTGTACCCAGTTAGTTTGCTGTGCACTTTTAGACATACGAACATAGACTTGCTTTGCATTCTGAGGGACTAAGTTCACAGCTGATTACAATCTCAAACCTCCACTCCTGCTGAACCTTTCACTGCCTTGCTTGAAGAATTACTTCTGCCTTAAAATACACCATAAACTCTAGTTCCACCACATCTTCAGGGAGAGTGCAAAATATACAACCCTCAAAATAGACACTGCCTCACCCTTTTAAACTGGCAACCCCCCAATTCTAGATTTTCCCCACAGAAAAAAAATCCTCTCCACATCTACTCCATCAAGGGGCCTCAGGATTGTTTCAAATCAAGTCACCTCACTAAGCACCCACAGATAATCCAACTTTGCCTCACAACACAATCCACTCAGTCAAGGTATTAGTCTGATAAACTCTCTGGCAAGGGGAACAAAAGCCATAGCAGTAGTGTCAATAAAGTAGCACAGAATTTAACCAAATCACATCCTGACTGCCATACAGTACTGTAGGAAAACAGAGTACTAAAATGCTCTTTTCTTTTAAAAAAGGTATTTATTGAACACTGGAACAATGTTATAATTGGTCCATGGTTTATGCAGCCTCTTCCTTGGCAATGCGATCCTTCTTCAGTGGTCCCTGAAAACAAAACACAATACAAATATCAAAAGGAGCTGGCTGAGGCAGTTTCAAAAGATCAACAACGTGTGTTCATTGCAACTACAAAACAGTTCTTGTAACCCAAGTTTCGTGCAAGTCAATTTACAAAATCTGAAGGTTCGCCACAGGAAACAGTTGCACTGATGAATTTATCACTGACCATAAACGCCTTCTTCTCCTCGATGGTCTGGAAGCGACCATGACCAAATTTGGAAGAAGTATCAATAAACTTCAGGTCGATCTTCTCCACAGCACGGCGGTTCGTCTGCACCAACAGGGACTGCAAGGTTGAACATAAAACTTTTCAATATTCTGTACTACAACCAGCTTAAAACTATATAGCTTGTGGGGGTTGGGTGGAGGAGACAGGAGAACCTGAAAATGCTCAAGGGCAGCTACACTCTTTCACCAAGGGGGACGGTAAGATTGACTATGTATTCATATTAAGAAGACAAGTAGTTACCTTGCGCAGCGTAAGCACACGTTTCTTGGTACCAACAACACAGCCCTTCACCATTACAAAATCATTGGTAACTTCACCATAGTGAGGAAATCCTCCCTGATGAGAGATTGAGAACAGCAGTTAGCAGAACAGCCCTAAAGGAGATGAGCTACAATTTGGAATGTCATTGATAGCTTGCTAAAAACACACTAGTGGGTTGATGCTCTTGTCTGTCAGGTCATACTCTGTAGCAGCATTGTTCTTCACCAGCTTGCCATCCTTGGTCTGGTAACCAGATCCAATCCTGTAGATCTAGGAGGTAAAGAATTGAGTTTTAGTTCACATTTTACAGGAAACCTGGTAACAGTGCATTCAGAGACAAGGTGCAAGAATTCCTATTCAGGCAAGCAATCTTGAGAATGTACTGTAATTAATAAAGGATAGAGAAGTCATTCTGACAAAAATGATAGTGCCATTTGCAAAGAAACCTGGAATACCAGCTTTGGTTCTTGCTCAGGATTCTCTTTAGGTTAAGATGCAGGTTCAGCTGGCAATTAGGAAGGTAAAAGCAATGTTATTATTCAGTTCCAGTGGCCTAGAATACAACAGCATGGATGTACTGCTGAGATTGTAGAAGGCTCTGGCCAGGCCACATTTGGAACATTGAGCAGTTTTAGGCCCCATATCCAAGGAAGGACGTGCTGACCTTGGAGTGGGTCCATGATCTAAGGAATGAAGGGCTTGTCATATGAGGAACAGTTGAGAACGCTGGGTTTGTACTTGGGAGTTAAGGAGGATGAGGGGGAATCTGATTCAAACAAACAGAATACCAGGGCCTGGATAGAGTGGATATGGAGATGTTTTCACTAGTAGGAGACTAGGACCCAAGGGCACAACCTCAAGAGTGAAGATGACTCTTTAGAACTGAGTCAGAGGAATCTTGGGGTTCAAGTCCATAGCTCGCTGAAAGTGGCCACACAAGTAAATAGGGTGATAAAGAAGGCATATGGCATGCTTGCCTTTACTGGCCAGGAAACAGGAGTACAAGTCAGAATGTCAAGTTGCAGCTTTATAACATTTTGGTTCAGCCACACTTATTATTGTATTCAATTCTCATCACGTTACAAAAACAATGTGGAAGCTTTGGCAGGGGTGCAGAAGAAGAGGTTTGCCAGGATACTGCCTGGTTTAGAGGGTTTGAACTATAAGGAGGCTAGAAAAACTGAAGGGAGACTTGATAGAAGTCTATAAAATGATGAGATGCATAGATAGGGTTGACTGTCAGTACCATTTTCCCTCCGAAGAGTTCAAAATGTCTAACACTAGAGCCAATGCATTTAAGGCAAGAGGGGCAAAGTTCAAAAAGAGATGTGACAGGCATATTGTCTTTTTAAAACAAAGACTAGAGAGTGGTAGGAGTGTGGAATGTACTGCCAGGGATGGTGGAGGAGGCAGATATGATAGGGTCATTTAAGAAACTAAGATAAGTACATGAAAATGAAAGGAACAGAGATAAAGGACCAAGGGCAGGGAAAAGGCATTTGTTTAATTTGGCATGTTTGGCACAACATTGTGAGCTGAAGGGCCCATTCTTGTGCTGTGCTGTTCTATGTTCTGAGGAGAGGAGGAACTTATTCAGATGCAGGATAGTTCATCTGTGGAGCTCATTGCTGCAGAGGGCTATGAAGAGCAAGTCATTGAGCGTCTTTAAAAAGACAGATAGATAGGTTATTGAATACTAAGGGGATCAAGGTTACAGGAAGAAGGCAGGAGAGTGGGACCGAGTAACATATCAGCCATGATCGAATGGTGGAGCTGACTCAAATGGCCCAATTCTGCTCCTCTACATTGTGAATTTCTGAATTCACATTTTAAAAGTGCAGACTTGGATTGGAGACCCAGCTAGCATCCTTTAGGGAAGGGCACCAGCCATTCTGATCCAATCTAGACAAGTGGGACTCCACGCCCACTGACTTTTCAGGCAATGACAGCATCAAGTCCTGAACCGCTATGCTCATATTTTGGCAGCAGCCACATTTCAGGTACAGACCCTTAGCCATTTCAGATCACACCTTTAAAGTGCTTACCTTCTTGTTGATCTCTGTACGGTGATGGTATCCCTTCTGACCTGCACGAGCAACAGAGAAAGCTACACGGGCAGGATGCCAAGCTCCAATACAGGCAACTTTACGCAGCCCCTTGTGAGTCTTCCTTGGCAGTTTCTTTGTGTGCCAACGACTGGTGACCCCTGGGGAGGAAGAGAACTGACCAATTAGTGAATACCCAAGATGCTGACAATTCTTCATTTATTCCTGAAACGGAGATCTCAGAAGGAAGGCAGCATGGAATGGCTCCTCATCAGAGTCAGATGCTGTTACCAACATATATTCCATGTTATCATCACGGAATGCTCCAACAGTGAAGTGTGACTATGGTCAACAAAAGCCTCATTAAAAAGACATATTACCTATGCATATAAACAAAATCCAAAAGGTTACAATCATTTGAGACCCATCCAACTAATTCACAAATTCCATACCTTTGAAGCCATGGCCTTTGGTTACACCAATGACATCTATCATCTCATCCTGACCAAACACCAGGTTAACAGAAACCTGCTGTTCCAGTTTCTCTCTTGCCCAATCGACTTTCTCTGCAATTGTCCCACCATTCAACTGGATCTCCATGATATGGGATTTCTTCTGACGCAAGGGAAGCAGGCGCATCTGTGGAGATGAAGCATTCCAATGAACAAGTTAGAACAAGCCAACATTAGTGGGATATTTCCCACTGTTATTCAAGTCAATTTGCTCCACCGTTACCAGCACATCTTCTGCTTGCCTAAAATAAACTGACGGCCTTCAAAATCACCTCCACTCATCGTAATATTTCTTTAGGAGTGGCTTGGTGTCATATACATTTACAGGAGATTTCTGTGAAGCAGCTTGGAATGTTTCACTATAACCATTCATAGTCATAGATATGCAACTCTCCCAGAATTAGAGGGCTGAAACAACACACTACACCATCCACAAAACCTGACACGAACTTATGGTCTTGGCTTGTCCCCTGAAGACATGGCATTGGGATTAAAAAAGCACTAAACCAAGTGGCCTTATTATTGAGATTTTGTAAAACAAAAGTTTGAATATCCCAAAAGTAATTTAACAGGTAATAAAAAAACAACCAAGGTAGCAAGCCAGAAATCTCAAACAGAAGCTTCTGTATCCAAGCCTCCTTTCAAATTCAGCTTTGGTGCCTACCTGTGTGTGAGCAATGATGCGAATAACTTGGCAGTATTTCTTCATGCTGTTGAAGTCCTTCTCCAATTGTTTCTTGCCATCTTCATCCTGCCATTTCTTGCAGTACTTGGTGAAAGCCTTCTTCTTGGATTTGTACCTTTTATATAGAGAGACAAGAGAACATTGGCGCAACCCTTCATCACACAACTGTGAGCGGAAGGAATCAGCACCAAGCAGGTCGGCTCATTGTTGGGATCAAAGGACACTTTCCTCCAACATTCAGAGCCTGGAGCTCATCGACCCATGTTGCCATAGTCGAGCGGAGCTGCTGATAATTCAATCCAGATTAACACCTTTCCGCATCATCTTTATGAACTGTTTAAGATTTGGAATTATGTGACATATTTACCAATTCTTGTAGAATCGACGCTTGCATTCATCACTGATGTGCTCAGCAAAGATGGTCTTAAAGGTTCGGAGACCACGGGGAGTCTCAATGTAGCCAACAAGACCAACAATTACCATTGGAGGAGTTTCAATTACAGTCACTGCTTCGACCACCTCCTTCTTGTTCACCTCTGGGAGATTCAGAAAAAAAAAATTTTTAATGTTCAGACAAAAACCCATGAACCCAACGTATCAAGAATTTCTCTATACAAATGCTGTCAGAGCAGAGTAGTGTCAGCATTTTGCTTTAATATAATGCAATTAGCACAGCATGGCTGGTTTAACCAGGTACCTGAGCTAGTTAAAATTTGAACAGATAGACCAAGCCTACCCATTGGGAGACTTTCAACATGCAGTCAAACAGTAGCTTCATGTTTTGGTGTAGGGACAAAAGCAATTAGCAAGCTTATTTGAGTGCATCATTTGAGAAACAATTATATTCAACAAGTGTACTGGTTTTATTGCACTACAGTCAGCATACTCGACATTCAACAAAATCACCACAGGTGATTGAATTATGACCGCCCGTCGAGTTTATCATCATGTGTAGTTATTCTATTTGCTAGCACAAGACTAAAGCTGGGAGTTATGAAACATCAAATTCTTCTCCCCAAACTAAGCACCACTTTTAATCATCAAATAGTTTTGCATATTTGAATGCAAGCCTTATAGGTATTCTGCTTGAAGGAGTGAACCCAGTTCTAATGGAGTATTAGAAATATTTAATTAGAAATATTAGAAATGGTCTTGAAATATTAACACCAAGATGAATTGGTGCTTGGGTAAGAAATTAAGTATTTAAAAAGTGTTAAGTTCTTCCACTCCTTAGTGAAAAGGTCATACACAAAGTCAAAAAAAAAAATTTTCACAACTTTTAAGATCAAGACTTTTCAGAAGAAAATTTTCCAAACAAAAAAGTGGAAATGGATAAGTACCGTGAACAAAAGTACAGCCAAGACTTATTTAGGGCATAAGCTTTAGTTACTTGTAATCCAAGCAAAGCTAGTTACCTGCAAACTTTAATCAGCTTAGCCCAGAGGGAGATTTTTGATTAGAAGGGCACTGAAGGTTATGGGGGCCAGGTAGAAAATTGGAGTTAATAATGACCACAATCACAGCCATCTTACTGAATGACAGGGCAGATGCAAGAGGCCCAAATAGGGTGCTCCTCTCTCTCATGCTGCCAAACACACTATGCATCCAGATGACATTGGAGCTACTGCCAATTTTTGGGGACCAGTTCTGTAGGGGCAAAGCTTGATTTCAAAAAAACCAAGCAAGGTGGCTCAGTGGTTAGCACTATTGCCTCACAGCACCAGGGACCCAAGCTCAATCCCAGCCTAGGGTGACTGTGTGCAGTTTACACATTCTCCTTTCTAAAGGAGGGTCCCAACCAAAAACATCAACTTTCCTGCTCCTCTGATGCTGCCTACCCTACTGTGTTCCTTCAGCTCCACACTTCTCTCTGACTCCAGCATCTGCAGTTCTTGTTACCTCCCCATATCCACGTCTATGTGGGTTTCACCTGGGACTCTAGTTTCTTCCCCCAGTCCAAAGATGTGCAGATTAGATGAATTGGCCATGCTAAATTACCCTGTAGCATCCAGGGATGTGCAGGCTAAGTGGATTAGCCACACGAAATGTGGTGTTATGGGGATTTTAGGCAGCGTGGTAGGGTGGGGGTTCAGGTCTGGATAGGATGCTCTTCAGGGGGGCAGTGCAAACTTGAAAGGCCATTTTATCCACTGGAAGGATTCTACAAATTCACAAACACGGCCTGTAACAGCTTCATAAACTTGGGGTTCTTTACCTCACAAGCAAACTCTAGGGAGTGTGACATGTGCAGTGATCACACAATTAAAAAGAGGCAATATTTAAAGTTGGTACTTACATGCTTGTGAAATATTAGAATATTACTGTACTTACTTGAACCAGGCCTGTCAACATCACGAACAATGTGAGTCATGCCAGCCTTGTAACCCAAAAAGGCAGTCAGATGGAGAGGTTTGGAAGAATCATCTTTGGGAAAGCTCTTCACTTTGCCCCTGTGTCTCCGGCTCCTTTTTCGGGGCAGGAAGCCCAGAGAGCCATGTCTGGGGGCCGAGAACTTGCGGTGAGACTGTAGACCGGAAAGAGAATTTAAAGTTTAGAGGAAGATCATCCCAGATGTTGCAAACTGGAAATAACAAGAAACCTGTTTCCCCCAAGGACCATTCCTTAAAAACTGTATACTTTATAGAAGGTACACTTCAAAGATAAACCTATGATACAGCATTGCAATGACTTTTATTCATCCATCCTAAATCACCCTCCATTTAATTTCTACACTGCTACGAAATTAGGCTGCTATTAGGATTAGCACCATCAGAAATGTTGTAATTTTTCCTGAGTACGTGCTCTTGGATTCACACCCTGATCAGGATTTGACCCGTTTCTCTGGTAAGTGGAGCTCAACTTGAGGGGGTGGGCAGGTTTGAACACACCATTCTAACCTCATCGTGAGCATCTGATCCAAGTACAAAAATCAGGAAATAACAGCGCAAAGTTGAAACTAGCCGCAGAGGATGAAGATATAGTCGGTTATCGCGGCTCATGTGAGCAGGATGGCTCGGATTGAACTCGGATTGCATTCCCTGAACCACAGTCAACCGCCGCCATTTTAGGGGCAATCGGGTAGGAATTAAAACGCGTTAAGCACTTTCCTCAACATCATCCTCAAAAAAAAATTCCATCAATACCATACCGGCTATGTTGTTAACAATCGTCTATACGTGCATTTGTTTGAATTAAGGTTCTACGTGCTCGGATGGCTATGATATTGATCGGATTAAAAATACCGAACTCACCATTTCTCAAACTGACCTGAAAGAGAGAGCGAGAGCTGTACCTTTCCCTTTTATACCCCGGTTACACATCACTTCCTGCCAACGACGCCACGCTTTTACTTTTATAATTAATTACAAAATACAAATTGCTATCTTTAATTTACAATTATTTTGTATGCATTTAAAAATGGGGCTTTTCGATTTTTCTTCGTTGATTTATTCTCCAGCTCAACAATTAAACTTTATGTCACTTCCTTTAACACTTTATTGACCAAAACCCTACTTTTAGGTCTTATTATTTTCTTTTTAATTTTGCAAATATGGTTCTTCTCAATTATGTTAACCCATGAGATTAAACTACCATTGTTGTTTTGTCAATTTTGCTTCTCCTTAAGGGGTACATTTCCCCTTAGCACCCACCACCTCAAAAAAATCTATCTTTATGAAGCAATACTACAATCGTACATAACATTAATATCTTTATGTAACACCTTTCACAACCACCAATAACTTCAAAGCACTTCATGACCAATTAAATACTTTTGAAGTGTAGTCATTGTCATAACGTAGGAAACACAACAGCCAATTTGTGCACATCATGATCCCACAAAAAGTGATCATGACTAGATAATCTGCTTTGGTAATGTTGGTTGAGAAATAAATATTAACCAGGACATAGGGGATAATTCCTCTACTCTTCTTCAAAATAGTGTCATGGGAGTTTTACATCTAGCCAAGTTGGCAGACCTCTGTTTAAATGCCTCATCTGTAAGAAGGTACCTCTGACAGTTCAACACTGTGCACTGGAGCGTCAGCCTTGAGTTTTAGGCTCACATGCTGGAAATGGCACAAACCTGGTACCTTGAGGCAAAAGTGGTATCCACTGCATCACAAATCAGCATGGCTAATCCAGACTGATATTTCAGACTGGAGAGTACAACATAAGCAATTTTATTAGGGTGACCAGAAATACCAGTTTTGCCAGAATACATTTTCAATAAATATATTGATGTCCTGATAATTTCCTAAAATTAGTTCTAAAGCGCTGATTTTCACCTCTTCCTTTTTTGTCAGATACCAAATGGGTCAAGGTGGAGAAATTTGTGTGAACTGTCACCTTACCTCCTGTATCCATCGTAATATGTTGTAGGCAGCTGATCTGATAACCCAACCCCTTGACTTCTCCAAGAAAATTACCACAACCTTTTTGGCTCCATTGCTGATGACACCATTTAGAACATTATTTGAGTAGCCTTGCCATCTTTGGCTGGACCATTCTGGTAGAAGTCATCACATGAATTCCCAATCTCAACTGACCCTCCCTCAGGTTTCTCCATTGGCTACCTGACATGTCAATCATCATAGAGGCCCCACCTTCCCATTTGCTGCCTTTCCAGTTTATGTCCGGGGTTTACTTCTGAAAGTCTGGTCATCCTGCATTTCAGCTAAACCCAATTTTACCCTCCTCCAAAGTGCTAACTCACAAAGTGGAGGCACTGAGGAGAGACAATGGAAACACTTATCTAGGCTTAGGCAGCTCTCTTTTTTTTGAAATATACTTTATTCAAGAACTTACAAAAATGTTTTGATAAATATAACAGAATGGTCAATAAAGCTCAACTTGTAATAGACTTAATATTTACAAAGTCCATTCCATGTCCAATTTACAGCCTGAGGGCAAAACATTTCAAATTTGAAATTTCAGGACATACAGTAGATATGGAAAAATAAATCTGTATAGAATATGTTTCACCTCAATACATTTGCAATGCTCGTAATCCCAAAGTACATTCTTTATAAGGCACATAGTCTGTTCGGTTCAATAGTTTCCAGCCTCTCTGTGCTACGCATGAGAAACCTTAGACTGGGACCTTTCCCCATTGGGCCTTGGAATCTTTCTGTGTCATACTTGGTCGAACATAACTCCTTGCTCTTGACGACCAGTAAGTTTCAAATAGATTGAGAGCATTGTTCATGGACCTCCAGCCAAGGCTGATGCCTGTCCCAGAGTACAGCTCATGGAGCTCAGTGTTACTGAGTGGCAGAGGATGAACTTTGATAAAAAAAAACCACTGCATCTCTCTCTATTTCTTCCTTGAAAAGGTAAGTTGTGTGAGGAGATGGACATCAGTGTCTTCCCCAACACAACCACCTCAAAGGGCAACAACAGAGGTGGTGAGACCTCCCGGAGTGTAAGAAGAATGTAATGGGAAAGGCCTTTCTCACTGCCAGCCAAGCCACATCTTGGTCCTTGTTGAAAAGCTCTGCAAAATGACTGTCTGCTCAGGGAACCATCCGGCCAGAACGATCTTCTCCTTTCTCAGCAGGGCCTTGAGGATGATAAGTGCTGACCCTTGCCTGATGGACTGTGTTCTAGGTCTCCGTGGGGTTCAATGGTCAATCTGATTGGAGAATTTCAAGGCAACGAGGCCAGAGCCATCTTTGGCAACACTGGGAACAGATAGAGCCTTAGCATGTGGTAAGTTTTAGTGTGTGAACGCTGAGGTTAAGTCTCCCAACCTTGGAGGGCTAGGTGACTTCCTCACCACCATTAACATCCTATTAATCATCCCTCCCACTTGGAATTCCCTTCTCAAGTAACCTCTGTCCAATTAAAATACTGGATGCGTCAGACACTCATTGCATTAATCAAGTGTGTACCGGTCAACTTTGCTCTTTGACCTCAAGTCTGAGTGAGTCATGGCATTAGAAAACAGTGATGCCAAGTTGTCAGACATAACTCAGGGGTTTTTAAGAGTCTGTTCATGGCATCGTTGGTCATCAGTCTCCCCAAGATTCAACTGTTATGCCTTGAGTGTAATCCCAACATCTCGGTGTGTATCTCCCCGACAGTGAAGCCATCTCTGGTCATCCACTCTGCTACTTACGGGAGAGCTTTCATGCTGTGAGCTTTGTTACAAAGAAGCGGTCGACATCTCTCTGATAATTAAAACTGAAACACCCAGAGAAGCTCACCTTGCCTCGTAATCTGTTAAAGGAAGTGTGAAAAGTGGTATAATCTGCCTCTCACCCCCAGGCTGTTATAAAGGAGTGGTTAAATGAAAGAAATCCCTGATACTCACTTTATAGGCAACAAGTAACAATTTATTTATCTAACTCTGACAGTGAACACATTAACAGAACTACTAACAAACCGAACAAATCTCCCCTTAACTACTAACTATTCCCGAATAAAACAAAAATTCTAATGGTTTGCTGTTCCAATAGCTATAGATCCCATTATTATAAACAAAATTAATTAAAAATTAATCTCTTGAAATTAAAACCAGGATAAGTCTTCCAGAATGTTCTTTGCCTTTTCTGCTGTACTCCAGTCAGGAACACCTTCCTCCGTCGAATTCCTGTGTCAGGAATATTAGCTAAGAGTGCCATAGTACTTTTATTTAGATGGTGCTTACTCCGAGAGCTTAGAGATTTCTGTGAGAGCCGGTGAGTTTCTCTTCAGATGGCAGTTCATCGTCACACCGATTTTCAAATGTCCTCTTCTTTTACACCCTTGATCACCTATTAATTTCTTATAAAAGGATTGGTCCTACATTGTCAAAACCTTCAAATTTAAATTTAATTGGGTTTGGTATCTAATTTCAATTAATTAGCTAAATTCAAAAGCCTGGTGTCTTGGTAAAAATGCTGCTAACAGTATAGCCATTTTGATAGTGTTTCAATTTCAAGAGCTCTGTGCGTCTGCTGTTGCCTGCAGATGTTTTAAAAATCTCCATGCCTAGAAAAGATGTTATTTTTAAAAGGGACCACACACCCTTTCCCCCTATCACTTTACAAACACCAAATACTCTACCCAACTTCACAACTGCTTGAAGTGCTGTGCATGCTTTGACTGGTTGAGGATGCTCCACATCTTTCACTTTGGAGAATCTGCTCTTGTCCTATTGTGAGAAGAAGACTACAGCAGATATTAGGGCAGTTCAATGGGATGTATATTTTCAAAAGTGTCGATTATGTACAATAATTGAACACCCCTGAGCCCAATGTATCCTCAGAAGTGTTTTCCCCCGCTTTTCCCTCCTGCTATGTCTAGGTGCAGGCCTGATAACAAGGCTAATTGTGACAATAAAACTAATTCATTTTGATATTTGAGGCTGCAGTGGAGGGAGGTCTGCTGACTGGTTGTCCCTGAGGACTACTCTCCTCCCCCTGAGGAGGGGGATGTCCATCCAGCTGAGGGTCTCCTGTACAGGTTCAGATGCATCTTTGGCATCAGCTGCTGGAGGCCATGGCAGCAGGAACCAGCAGGTCAGGGCTCCTTTGAAGTGACCTGAGGAAAGGTTCCTGGAGTGATGCATTGCTGTTCCTCCCTGTGGGTGCCTGCTATTGGCACCCCATCTTCTTCAGAAGAAGGGGCCCCTGGATGAGGTGGAGATGCCTCAGCTGCTGCCATCTTGTCAGTGAGGCTCAGTGAGAGAGTGTAGGCTGGTCTAGTGACGACCAAGTGTTCTGCTGGACTTGGGTCTCCAAGGCAGCCACTACCCCTTTCCATGGAGACAGCACATCAGTGTCACCAGAGGAGCAAGAACATTGGAGGTACATCTCCATCTTTCAGTCTAGGTTACTGGGTCCTCAGGCGCAGGTACTTGATGTCGCTGCACTTGTGTCTGCAGCTTCACAATGTCCCTTATGGCTGAGTACAGAGACATACCTTCTGCAATGGGCCTGAGCTGACTCTGTCAAACCCCCCAGAGTCAGAGAGCTTAGGTGCTACATCTCAGAGCAGACACGTACCACTGACACGCTCTCCAGACTGTGCCCCCAAATCCTATTTATATCAGTACCTGCAATAGGGTTAGAGTTAGGGTTAGGGTTAGGGCTAGGGTTAGGGTTAGGGTTAGAGATAGGGATAGGGTTAGGGTTAGTCTTAGGATTAGGTTTGGAGTTAGACTTATGATTACAGTTAGGGTTAGGGTTAGGGGTAGGGTTAGGGTTACGGTTAGGGTTAGGATTTGGGTTAGGGTTAGGGATAGGATTAGGTTCAGGTCAACCCTAACCCTCACTGCTGAGATCATAGTCCCTATTCTGACCAAGGTGAATGCCCACCCCTGCATCCTCTGAATC